GTGAGTAGGAGAAGGAAGTTTAAATCCTACATAAGTACACCGGTACAATTCATCAGAAATGGTGGATGATTCTGCAGTTTGAAGCGATCAGCGAATGAGAGGTGGGTTAACAATTACAATCAGAAGATTTTGGAGTTCTGGACTGGCAATATGTGGTTCAAATGAGTCCATCGCTAATTACATTGCAAAATATATTTCGAAAAGTGAGCCATTGGAAGTTACCGATGGTGTAGCTCAAGCCATTCGTCAGATACGCCGCTATGAGACTAATATCGCCAGAAAACTCTTCAAATCGTGTATGCGAATTTTGAAGGAGGGACAAGTATCTGCATCTGAATGTGTGTATCGCCTGTGCCATTTGCCTCTTAAGTCGAGTTCAAGAAAGTGCGTGTTCTTGAACACTCGAAAGCCTGAACAGCGATATCAGGTTCTTCGATTTGAAGGAAATCAGGCTATCGGTATTTGCGCTAACATCTTCGAACGCTACGCAAATCGACCCCGGAAACAGGAGCAAGGATTTGATTTTCCTAACATGTGCCTGCTGGAGTTCGGAATAAAGAAAGCATCTATGCAGATATCGAAGGGCAGACGAATTTACAGAATTCAGGCTCAAGATGTACTAGTGAGTGCTACGAGAAATGCTGACAATGTGAATATGGAGAACATTGTTTCAGCCGACGGCAACAAGGCTGGAGGATTACAAAGATATCTATCGATCATTATCGGAGCGAGAGTGATGTTGCGCTCAAACATCAATGTCGAACAAGAACTTGTAAATGGTGTTATGGGCACCATAACTGAAATTGTGTGGCCGCTATTTCGAAGTGATCAAATCTACGACGACGATATTTCATCTGTCCGCATTTATTTTGGTAGAGATGGAATTCATTTGATTAAGCCGAAGTCGATACAGTTCCCGGCGTTGCGAAATTACGGCACAATCGAACGAACACAGCTTCCACTTATTCTGTGTTGGGCCTGCACTGTACATAATATGCAGGGATGTACGGTGGATCATGCTGTTGTTTATCTCGGATCTGCACTCTTTGCCAAAGGACAGGCCTACGTCGCATTCATGATTCAAGGTTAGATAATTATTGACAGTCACGGTTTGACACTCCCTTACAAAAGGTTGCATTTACAGAGGATGGGGAAAGGGGAGGAATGAAATGCATTGCTGCGAAAATGGTAGTAGAAAAGTACCCAAAGTAGGCAAATAGTAGTGAAATTCCTTTTGTAAATTCTAATGTATTTGCAGGAAATCTAGCATTTTACGCGAAATATTGAACGAAATGTTAATATATCTACGTGAACTACGCAATTTTTGTGTTATTTGGCCGTATAAAAACTGCAAAAAGACTCAAAATTAATATAAAACTACTATGAGATTTATGTAAACATCCAATTTAAAAGCAGTTTATGTTTTCATCAGTTAAATGTGCTTTATATACATATACAAATAAACATATTGCACAAAAGCTTATACTTCTATTTCACAGCAAAGAAACACTTTTTCCAAGTAAATTTGCAAAGAAGCAACACTTTGCGAGAGAGACAACTGTCAGTTTATCGAACCTTGTATTATTGAATCATGCGTCGCATTCAGCCGTGTCAGAACTTTAGACAGCCTTCGTATTGAGGAGCTTGATTGCGCCAAACTCACTGGCAAAACACCGTGCAACGAGGAAGTGATGAAAGAAATGATGCGAATGCGACAATTCGGAGTGCCATACCCATGAGGTCATTTTAACAAGTCTTTTCTTTAGAAATCAGTTTTCCCATTAGTTTTTATGTATGAATGTATGCATAAATATGTATGTATATGTTGAAAGATGCAATAAATAAAAAGTTACTTTCATAAAAAACAAAATCAGAATATTTTTCAATTACTTTAGTATCTATTGGGCCATTCCATTGTGACTAGTGGGACATTTTACTCCAGAATGTGATCAATTGTCAATTTTATCTATGTCGTCGGAACTTATACAATAGCCAAAGATAGTTTTTAACATAGAACGATAACTAATGTATAAAATTGCTTTAACAAAATTACCAAACGATTTCTTAGTTTTTATGTAACATCATTTGAATGAATGTGTCTGGTGGGACATTGAAAATAACACAAGGGTAGAAGTGCATTCAAGGATGAATTTTAGCCAAAACACTTAATTTTCACGAACGATGTATTTGTGTTGTAAAATATGAATTATACGCTTTCGTTTTCAATAAAAATGAGGTTTATTTATCCTTCATAGAAATATAAAAAAATATTTAAAGTTGTGACGGGTGGGACATCTCCTTGTGACTGGTGTAAATTAATTATGCATGAAATCGAAGTTTCCATAGACAAAAATTACAACTTATTTTGATTTTTTTTAATATTTTCCCACAGGTTAATGAGATGTAGTAATTTAAAAAGAGGTTACTACTGAAATACAGATAATTAGGGCATATTTAAATTTATGTCGTTTTCCTCTTTTCATTGGAATGACACTATTGCAAAATTGTTTACTGACAAGACTAAAAAGTAGAAAATAAATAAAATAAAATTAAAAAAACGTTTTAATATACAACGCTTTTATAAATGGACTAAAAAGTAGAAAGTCCCACAGAATTTGTTTTGATAACTTTTGATTTTGAAATTTTAGCAAATGTCATTATAAACAATTAATGGCATTGAAAATGAAAAGCGTGGGGCGCATGTAATATACTTGAATTTATATGAAAAGTAACATATGTATGTATGTGGGCATATGAATAACGACCGCTTAAAATCGATCTCAAATTTTTTACTTTCGCTGTAGAATGTTATGTAGTTTGACTATTGTCAATGAAATCGAATGCTTTGTACTGCATGCGCTCCACGTTTTTCGTTTTCAATATCATTAATTGTTTATAATGACATTTGCTAAAATTTCAAAATCAAAAGTTATCAAAACAAATTCTGTGGGAATTGGAAATATTATTTTCTACTTTTTAGTCCATTTATAAAAACGTTGTATATTAAAAATTTTTATTTTATTTTATTTATTTCAATTATGACTGCCAAATGACTAAGGACATTCTAAGTTCCATCATTTTGGCAGTGCAAAATGCAGGCTTTCCAGTGGTAGCTGTCGTTTCCGACATGGGATCTACTAATCGTAAACTTTGGAAAGACTTAGATGTGACAGTGGGTAAGATTATTCAATCTATATGAATAAATTATATAGAATAAATGGACTATAGTTATATTATACTATATTAAGATAAGCGGTGGTTCCCAAATCCTGCAGATGAAAACGCAAAAGTTTTTACATTCGCGGATGCTCCACACTTATTAAAGCTAATACGCAACCAATTGTTAGACTCGGGCTTGATTTGGAAAGGTTAAGTTCTAACGACGAAAACAATTTACGAAATGCTGCAACACACAAATAAATCGGATGTATCCATAACATTCAAGCTCACTGATGAGCACATTTCAGTAAAAGGAATAGGTATATAAATATAAACAAACCCACCAACTTATAAAACCAAACCGAAATTTCAGGCAGGCAAAAGGTCAAACTAGCAACGCAGATATTTTCAAACACCACCGCTAACGCAATCAGGCGTTGTTACTTGCTTGGGCTTGACCTGCACATACGGAGACAGCTGATTTTATCCAGCTTTATTTTATCCAGCGTGTAAACGATTGGTTTGATGTGCTCAATTTCAGTATGGATACATTTGATTATCCTGAAAAATAGGGTTTTTGTAGTTATACATTTTTTTTTTATTATTTAATTACTAAAGGAACCTTTCGGAACTGCCCTTTCCAACCAAAAAGAAGTGTTGGCACAAATGAACGAATTCATGTCGTCGCCAGTTGTTCCATATAAAAACGGGTTAGAATATTTTCAGAAGGGTATACTGATGACAAAAAGAGCGCTTGTATTGCTGTTTGAATATCTTAAAAGCAACTCAAATGTTGAATATATTCTAATCCATCGGCTAGATCAAGATGTACTCGATCATTTGTTTGGAGCCATCTGTAGCAAAGGAGGCCTCAACGATCACCCAACCCCTCAGGTGTTCAAATACAGACTGCGAAAATACATCTTAGGTAAAATTAGTAATCTCACTTTTTAGAATACAAAATATTTTTCCTATAACTTTTATACAGCACGCAATCCTGAGCTTTTGCAAAGCACGGCGAACGTTGCGCCCGATAGAACTAAGTGGCTGATTCACACGAAAACGCCACAGCTGTCAGCATCAGAAGACGTTCTCACCACCCTAGTAAATTACTCCCAGGAACTTGCTACAGATGAGGACCTGATGAAATGGAGCCGGTAATTGAAGCACTTGCCACATCACTTGCAGATGAGGATCCTGATGTAGAAATGGAGCCGGTAATTGAAGCGCTTGACACATCACTTACGGATGAAGATCCTGATGTAGAAATGGAGTTATTGGAGCCCTTGCCACATCACATAAGGACGACTGTGGAATTCTTCAGGAGGATGCTCTCAAATATATTTCAGGAACCATCATCAAGAAGCTGCATCTTGAAGAACACGAAAGTACTGAGAAGTGGGTGGATCAGGTTTCGAAAGGCTTTTTAAAGAAACCGCCACTACATTTCTTAAACTGCATAAAAGCTCTGGAGTCGGTATTTCATAACATCAATAAGCTAGAAATATCGCATTGTAAAAAACTTAAGCAGCGCTTGATTGAAGAAGTGACGAAGTAGAGCTACCTGATCACGTCAAACGATCTTTCTTTAAATGCACAATCCATTTTAGAGTGAAAAGTTTGAATAAGCGACTTAAAATTAAAAAAGCAAAAAAGAGGATAATGGGTTATAAAACATTCATTTAATCAATTAATTTAGCTAACATTTTGACTTGCTCTTATCTTTACATCTATTTACTTTGCACAAATACAGATCAAGAAGTAACAAAAAACAATGTGGATAGATGTCGATTTGCGCCTTCCCATTAAGGTGAAATTGAAGCACTCCAATTGATATTCCTTCTGATATTTTAAATTTCCAACGCTTAATATTTTTCAACAATATTTTCGCTATATATTTTTTCCCATACCGACCAGTGATGCATCCACAGTATTAGCACTACTTTAATTTTAAGTCCCATACTAAACGGTTTTTGGATGCTCTATCGTAGACCGCAAATGGACGTGGATCAGTACGGGTTAAAATAAGGAAATTGTAGTTTTAACGTGAGTATCATTATTAAATTGTCCGATATATCAATATATGTACATACACTGAGAAAAAGGATTAGTTTCGACAACTAAAGATATTTAGTTGTAACAAATCGTTAATTTAGTTGAAGGGTTTGGTTAATACTAATAAATATTTCTTTGAAGCATATTTCTACAAATTCCCTTCAACTTAACGTATGGTTCATAAAACGATGTTATTAAGCTCTGATAATGCAGATAAGCTTTCTTTCAACACATGGTTTAGTCATAGTTACCAAATCTTAGTTGAGGCAACCACGATTTGGTTTGAGAGTGGAACCTATTCATGCTTGTGAGCCACCCCTAAGTGCTCATTTACACAAGGCGATTTTTGTTGCCGCAACTGGACGTTTGTAGGAGAGAGCGAGGCACCGAGTTGCTCGTGCTCGGGCAACACGCTTTGTGCTCTCGTTCGGCTGTGTAAATTGAACCGCTGTTCACAGCTGACAACAACAATTGCATACATACAAATCGCCGTGTGTAAATGAAACGAGCAACACCAAAACGGAATGTGAAAAATCGCGGCGACAAAAGTTTTCGTGTATAAACGCAGTCTAAAGAATGCTGAGCGCTCTCTGAGCACATGTGTGTTTCACATACGAAGAGCGCCAGCTGAGCAATACACACAGTCCCACTTATTGAATCGTTTGAATGTGCTAGTATGCCGATCATTGCATTGTGCGTGGAAATCATTGCTCCGCTACCGCTGTTCGTATATGGGTGAAACACGCATGTGGTCCCAGAGTGCTCAGTAAGCTATGGCATGTCGATCGCTGCGCTGGGTAGAGAAAGAAAAGTGTGTGCTATGACATGCCCAGATTTGTTTGTCTCAGTTTCAGTTTTGTTATCACCGAGAGTTGTTTCGGTGCGCGCATAGTTATTTAAAAATATAAAGTTTGATGCCAACCGGGGTTTTTCAGTGGATATATAATTCATGTAAATTATAATTTGAAAGTGCCTATTTAGCCAAGGAAAAAGCAAAGCAGTATACTTCCAGCAGGTATTAACCTGGGTTTTCTCACGACTGTTCCTATTTCATAGTTGTTTTTTAGGAAATTCTTACCACCATATACATATGTATTATTTACTTTAGTAACTAACTTTTGTAAATATGTACGTATTTTTATGCTTAATATATGCAAATAAAAGAAGAAAGTAAACACAACAAACATCGAATAAATTTTTATTTGTGTCAAACTGAAACTTTTTTTCCAATCATAAACGGTTAGCTGATTCAAGTCTACAGCAAGTTCACAAAATTAATTGAAAACTTGTATCAACCAAAGCATTATTTATTTGCTCAACAATGATTTTATTCAACTAACAATATTGTCCAATCAAGGTAGTCGTTTTGTAATTATTAATAAATATACATTTGTACCAACTAGAAGTCTTAAGTAAATTGCAGACTTTCGTGAACTATATATTTATTTCGCCATATCCAACTATGCCACTTGATCACTATAACCAAATCTTGGTTATTATAACCAAACCTTTTTCTGGGTGTATGTATATTATGCTGTGTTTACCAATAACCAATAACACTTCTCTTCCATTACCCACAGGTGTTTTTAAAATGCTAAACGCATTAATTGAACTCATCCTAAACATGTTGCAAGTGGAAAATGGTCTCGCGTTTTTTCGAATGCTGTCCTGTTCCATTGCTGCAAATTGCGTTCGTTACACAGATCTTTAAATGTTTACTGCTTCACTTCTAGCTCGCATGCTCCGATGGTGAAGGAAACACTCATTATCAATGGAATATGTAATGTCTCAATCTTTTGTCTGCACTCTTACATGCTGTCTGATATGGCGGACGTAATTGGTTGTCTTTGCCCTACCAAAGCCAAATAGTGGTGGTTATGTGACGAATTCGCAAGAACTGTTGTCGGATTTAGTACCGCTTTGTTTATTTATTTGCAGAACTTCACACGCTTGTACCGATAATTTAGCAGCATACAATTACAACTATGCACATATATCTTTTGCATATTTAATGAACTTAACGAAATTAGCAAAATGTGTTAAACCCCTAACAAACGATCATGTCAACGGATTCCAGCATGAATTTTTATCAACTCAGCTTTAAGCGACTGACCATAATAATTAGTTTATTTTAGTAACAATGGGTTTTGCAATGTAAATATCACGTATTAGTTCCATTAAATTAATTTAAAATTTAAACATAAAAATACACATATTGGAATCTCTAATTTTAAATAAACGATACCGAAAGAGAAGGTTATTGTTCTGGTAATCTTTTCCTAGAAATTTAGTTGTATACTTTGAAGCGAAATAGTCTCACAGTGCCGACATTGCATGGTCGCTAAAACCAATAAATTTGATGTATCTCCCTATTCAATATGCTAGGATAAACTCGCATCCAAAGCCAGAAGTAAAATGGAATGTAAAACTCACAAATAAGTTTTACAAATATGAAAAAGTGTAACTCAGCTGCACGTCACGTGAAATCATAAGCCATCGAATCCACTTTTTTAAACGCATAATCTGTGTGAGGCAAACGCTTCTTCAGCAAGCTTTCCAGCTTGCGTATGCGCCCAAGATCGTCATCATCTTCAATTTCATTTGAGCCACCGGTAAGGCAGTCAACACTAAAAATAAATGCAAGTTTTGGCGTAGATGTGGCAGCAGCTGTAGGCAGCATTCTGATCTTCATTTCAAACCAAGTCCCCTTGCATCGCTGCAACACAACTTCCCACAGCTAGTACATGAGTATACAAATAAGTCCGCTGACCCGCTGACTTGAAAAGAAATCTGAAGGTATTTATAGCAAAAAACAAACCATCGGCAATTCCTTTATCACTCACCTTGGATGTAAAATGGTTTTTTAATAGGACACTTTCAATAGCTCCCTATCATTAACTTTGGCATGTACTACAGTATATTTTGCTTAGCTGCACATCCTTCTTTGCACGAAAAACTTGTGCACTTAACCGAAAAAGGCACTTAAGCGAATTTTCTTTACTACTTCAAAAGCGGATTGTGCGATTAATCAATTAATATGAGTTATAATAAATTTAATAATTGCCCAGTCCTATTGCAAAATGCGTTGACACAAATATTTTTAAAAAGTATGCGCATTTTTAAAGAAAATTGTTTTTGCATCACTATTGTATAAGTGATTTGTGTTATTTATTATTATTTATTATTATTATTATTATTTGTGTTATTTATTATTATTTATGAAGGTATTCTATTCGTTTTCGGTTTTAAAAACTATATTATAACGAGATCTCATTTTTAAAATAAAATATTTGTTAAAACGATTTCATGAATTTTATTTAAAAAAAATTAGCGTTTTTTCAGAAATTGCGCTTTTTTTTAACAATCTGGACACCCCGGTATGTATTGTTATTGTCATGACAGTATTGTCCGGTATAAACCCTAAGTAAACAAGGATAATCGTAACAATTGGTTTCAGAATTGGGATTGTTAAATAAATCCCAGAGGATAAACTTCTAAAAATACCAAAAATTCAAGACCTAAAGATCGAGGAGCTCAAACAGGAGCTGGAAAAGCGAAATTTGGCTACCTACAGTAGAAAAGTGGAATTATTATCCCGGTTGCGAGAGGCTATGGAAAATGAAGGCATCGATGTTAACAAGCACGATTTCCATCGTGAATCGGAGCAGACATCCACGAAGGGCGAAGACAATGAAGAGACTGCTTTTTCTTCGAGTAGGGATGTTCCGATACAAGTAAATACAAGTATGTACTCGATACTTTTGTTTCGATACCAACTACTTTTTTTACTCGAACCGTTGTTTCGATACCTTCTTGGTATCGAAAGAAAAGTACTTGTATCGAATCGATTTGAGAAAGTGCCATATCCTGTCGATAATATTTTTTCTATGGAAAATAGTTGCTTCGTTTTCATAAAAAAAAAAATGTTTTAAGCAATTACACCGCCAAATTCTAAAGTGTGGATATATTTTTACAAAGCTAGTGATATCACAACAAAGTGTAAGCAATCTTTATAGCCGTAAAGTTTTCTGGGATCCTTTCAAAGGTTGAATTTTTTGTCTAAGTCTACTTTAAGTGCTACTAAAGAAGAAATATACATATTGATACCTCAACTGCAAATATATTGAAAATATTTGAGATATGGCGTTTTTGAACCGAATTCTGAAATAGGGTGTTCTTGAAAAGTTTTCTGAGATAGGGCGTTTTCCAATCAAATTCTGAAATACGGCGCTTTTGAAAAGTTCTCTGAGATAGGTCGTTTTCGAACTTTCTTCCGAGATAGGTCCATCTTCCACTCAGGTGCCGCAAAGCGTTATGTCACAGAAAACGCCTGAAAATTACTTTCGCATTGTTGAATCTAAAAGGATGAAAAATTATCGATATAAGTAGGTATCGATACATTCGCTTGACTCATATAAGTATCGAAATAGCTATTTGAGTAAACTCATTTGAGTAGGTATCGATACTTTGATTGTATCGGAATGTCCCTATCTTCGAGCGATATGCAGCAGACATCTACGAAGGTTGAGGAAAAGACCAGGCACCCCGTTCATATGCGAGTATGGATTAGAGCTGTAAAACTACCGATACTATCGAATGGTTCTATTTTTTTGCCCTATCGAATGGTCGTTGGCCACTATCGATAGTTTTTGTTTGAGGAAATATACATATTATATGTACTACTAAAGGTGTTCTTACACGATATGTATTTGCATCTGTGTATGTGACTTTCAATACATATGTAATTGCGTATGTCTGTCAAATTCACAGTCTTTATTTAACTATTTAAAAATACGATCTTTGAAAATGAACTAAACTAAACTCAAATGACTCTATCTGTGTGTCAGCTGAAAATAGAAACATCTCTATTTCGTATGTACGTGCATCTGCTTTGTACAGAAACCAATCTAATTTGCCTTTACACGATATGTTGGCAGTTCCATATGTAAAAAGTGGCATGTACACATGCAAATATATATCGTTTAAGAACACCTTTAATATGCATTTCTTTATATTAGAAAATGGGAATTTGGCAACATTGATTTGCTTACACATTACTATTTTTTTAATTATTACCGGGTTATACACGGTTCATGTATTGAATTCAATTCTGCTTGCTAGTTTCAAGTTTCTTGCCTTGCTTTTGACATTTTCGTTGTTTCCAATTTAAGGAACCAAAAACTGTAATTCAACAAAATTTAAGCGTGTAAAAGCAAGTAGAAATGGCAAAAGAGAATGAACCAGAATCGCTTTAAAGTACTTGAATCATGTAAATCGGGTGTAATTAAATTAAACAAAAAACTAGTTTGAATATCTTTTTGGAACCATACTATGGTGTCAGTTATTCTGAGTCGATGGAAGAAACTACGGATTCAAGCCAGGCTTAGTAAAATTTTGGAGATTCTTGTATTTCCGTTTTAAACTTTGAATTTATAAATAATCATGATGAATGATGAAAGTTTTTTGTAATACATACAGTTTTCTTTACGTTTACAAGCGATTTGTTTTTCTACGATTGGGAATTTTAGGTATTTATTTCATCGGTTTAAAATATTTTAAAAATCGAAGAGAAAGGACAAAGTTACTGAAAATCGCTATATATCAATTAGCTAATTCTCCAGGAGCTAAATAAAACTAAAAAGTTTATATAAATAGCTTCGTCAGTGCATTTTAAAATTATCCGATACTATCGATAGTATCGATAGTTTCAATGCAAACTATCGAAAACATCGAATGGGATGACTATCGATAGTTTTACAGCTCTGGTATGGATGTGAGCGTGTTAATGGCTGCAATGTCGCAGATTTCCTCTCAGATGTCGACTCGGACGGAAGCTCTAAAGTCCGAGATGTTGCAGTTGGCGGAGATGTCGTCACAGCTACAAGCACAAAAAACACACGCTTCGCAGTTGCTGGAAGTGCAGGATGCAAAGATTACACAACTGCAGGGGAATTTGGCTAGAGATAACGAGCGAATCAAGTATAGACATTATAAAGTCGAGGCTAAGGTAGAAGAATTGCAAAGTCGTCTCCGTGACTTGCAGTTGAATCGCCCAGCTACTTCGACGAACGCTCATAAGGTAAAAAACTCCATCTTTTGACGGCACGATTCCTTTCCAGGTCTTTAAGCTCCAGTTAGAGAAGACGGCTACACCAAACCATTGGAGTCTGGAAGGTAAATCCGTTGCGCTATTCATTGCATTGAAAGGACCTGCAACGGAAATCTTTCAGACTATTCCATGCTGTGAAAGGAATAATTACGATGCATTATTGAGAGCAGTGAAAAGTCGTTATGGTAGCGAGCACAGGAGGCAGATTTACTAGATGGAGCTGGAGAATCGCTGCCAAAAATCCAACGACACTTTAGAGGAAATCGGCTTAGAGATCGAGAGGTTGGTCCAGTTGGCAAATGGGGGCAAAGCCACCCTTTGCTGAAACTGTATTGTATGATCAGACACGTGGAATGGTGGCACTCCTAACTTGACCAGCCTACAAAGCCCATCGAGTGGAAGTGGAAACACCGGACGAGACAAATAAAATGCTGAAGAAGATAATACAACTGCTGGGCGAGAAAAAGGACGGCTCCGGCAAATGCGTCAAATGTGGGAAGCTAGGTCACTTCGCTCACAATTTCAGCGCAAGTTCCAACAGAAACAAAAACTCGGTAGGACGTAAAGGCAGAGCTGAGGAAGATGAACCTAACTCCAGACAGTCGTTAAACTAAAACGAGCCAGCAGGAAGGGCCAGCGCGCGGCCCAGCAGTTGAAAGGCCCATAATCTCCGTCTCACAAATTGGCCGGAAAGCGAGTAACCTCACTGTTGGTGGATGTGTGAATGGGCAAGAGCGAGTGTTGACAGTGGGTACTGGAGCATAGGGTTGCCAGATTCTGAAACGGAGAAAGAAGTACATTTCTATTTTCGATAGAAAAAAAGCAGTACAAACATAAAAAAGGAGTAATTCTTTTTATTTTTTTGTGCAATTTATTCTTACAAATTAACAAAAATTAAATATACATATAATCACATATTTGAGATCGTTTTCATTAATTAGGTACAAACAAACAAAGATATCTTAGATATATTTTTCAAGGAAACAATTAGTGTGAAACATAAGTATCTTAATTACACAAAAGAATTCCAGACTCTTCCTGAATTTTTGCAATTTTTTTTAATTTAAGCCTTATAAGTAATTTAATATTTTTCTGATTTTTTTTATATTAGATATGATATCTTCACCAGTTTCTGTATTCGTGTAAATATAAAAATCTGCACAAGTTAAATTGAAGTTGTTTTTTACAATAATTTCACTCTCGACATTTTCTAAGGACAGCCTTTTTATCTTTCCGTCGCCGAATTTCAATGAGGAATGGAAAAAGTATGTGATAAAAAATGAATAGCTGGAAAAAGGAGTGCAAAAGAAGTACGAAACTAAAGAAGGAGTACGTTTACTCCCAAAAGCAGTACGTCTGGCAACCCTACTGGAGCATCACATTCCATTATTCGACCTGATTTGGCCACTTTTTATGTGAAGCCTGGAGCAAAGTTGCGGACTGCAACTGGTGAGCGCACCCAAGTGTAAGAAGAAGAAGTACTGTGCGAGGTAATAATCGACAGTGTGGCCTCGTACAACAAATTTATAGTGGCAGATATTGTGGATGAAGTCATCCTCGGCGTGGACTTCCTACTTGGCCAAGGCATGAAGATTGACCTTCAGGGAATGATCCTCACATATCGCGACAGGAAAGTGCCACTTAGGGTTGGTTACGACAACCAGTACTGTAGCAGACGGTTGGTCTTAGAGAAAGTCCCGAATATTCCACCAGCAACGGAAGCAGTTAGTTGGGCAGAAATTGGCAGTGATGGAGACGGATTTGTTCCAACAGGAGAAGGAAGCGGTTCAGCTGTACAGGAAAAGGATACCTGTTCCGCCAACCCAGAGGAAAAGAGGAAGTTGCCACAAGGAAGTGGTCATGGTGA